GCTTTACTAATGTGCCACAATAACGTAATGTTTGTGAGGAAAAATATCTCCATTTATTCGGAGGCTTTTCCCAGCAAAGATGTGATTGTTTGCGGTAAAATCAGCTTTTATTTCTGGCACCTCTCAAAGCCTCTATGCCACCCCATGAATCTTTCCCTACGCAGGCATTATCACGTCGAGTGCTGTTATTACAAATGTGCAACGTATATTTTCCAGCTTCAAGGCGATGTTGCTTGAACACATCAGTGTCTGTCTCATATTGTTACTCGGGAGGCTTCATTTTGCCTGTGAAAAGTCCTCAGATGACACCTTTCCTCACAGTATAAATCTAAGTTTTATTAATTGATGAGGCGTTCCCGAGTGGTGGCTGGCTGTTTATCTTGTGCTACAGCTAACAATTATTTTCAGTTTCACTTAATCTGCGGATTATTTTCTCAACTAAGCAATTGTTTAGTTAATAAAATGTCCCAGAGCCCGTGGTGAGTCTTCAAATGTCTTGTTTATTGCATCCTAAACCCAAAGATATTCATTTAACTATCACAGAAGACAAATACAACTGGAAGCTATTTGGCATTTTTGCCTAAAACCATCAAAATTGTTGCCGATTTTCATTTTCTGTGGATGTACAAACCCATTAAACGACGGATTGTTTCAGCTCTAAAATACTAAGAGTTGATTTTTAAAACGTAATGTGGCGCCTTCACTGTCATCTGGTCTAGCTGGCTGGCTGCAGGCTGACTGTTGTGGTGTTGGCCTGGCCTGTGTGCACGGCACTGCACTTCATCTCGTTTGCTGACACATGGAAACAGGGAGCAGCTTGATGACCTGGCTGCCGTGGTTCAAGCTCACTACAACTGTAGCTCTCCTCGCTCTACTCTATTGTTCTTGTAGGCTGCAGATTTGTAACTGGATCCGTGTCGCCCTGCAGATTTTACACTGACTGAATCGTGATCTCGTTTTCAGGCTGCTGCATGTTGGATTCATACCAACATACAAATCTCGGTTCAAATAATGAGGCTGAAATATACATAGGGCTGTTATAAATGCTGCAGAGGAAGACTGATTTGAGCTCTGCTCTGAAAATTGCCCTACTTTCTATTTATCTGTTTCAATAGTAATTTAATCTCTGTCCTTGCCCAACATTGTTTCCTTTGGCAGTGGCAGCTTAACTGAAGGAAAAGCACCAGCACAACAGTGTAAAAATAACCCTTCACAAGTAAAAGTTCTGCATTCAAGATCTTACTGAAGCAAAAGTGAAGCAGTATTATCAGCATTATGTACTATAGTATCAACAGTAAAAGTACTCTTTTCAGATTATAAGATTGTTGCAATAATAATATGATGTGTAAGTAGCATATTTTCAGTTGTAGCTGTACAAGGTCAAGCTAGGCTTAACTACTTTATATACTGTAAAGTTAACTACTTTAGACCTCTGGTTCCCAAGCCAAAAGAGGCACAAGATAAATGTGAGGGGTAAAAAAAGTGAAATATTGGATATTTTCCTTTTTTTAGAGGAACTCTCAGACATCGGAAACGTGACAAGGAAGCATGTATTGTATTTTCTAAGATTTTCAAATGTATAATCTGAAGTATTTAGTAAAGCTGTCAGATCATTGTAGTAGAGTGAAAAGTATAATATTTCCCTCTGAAATGTAATGGAGAACAGGTATAAAGTGGCGTAAAATGGATATTCTCATGTAATGTACAAATACATTCCCCCACTGTCCTTTGAGCGGGTATTACTAAACAGCGAGGACAGATGTTTCATGTGCATTACTAACACGCTATAGCTTTAATTTGCATGATTTCTGTTATTTCTGAAGTAGTCAGATGCAAACAGGCTTTTTTTCTGTACCGAGCATTTCATCAGTCAAGTAAAGGTATTGTTATTGTTTAAAATGACCACAGGGGAATGATTTACTGCAGGGTGAATCTGTGGGAGTATGATTAACAACACAGACGTGTTACTGAGTGAGAGACCGAGGCATTTTGAAATCGTCACACTGTGGCTGTTTATGATGCCTCGCTTTGCACGATCAACCTGTAATGTGATGTGTCCTGTCAGTAATGGATCGTCAGTGTTCCTGCACTTTGGAGTAAACAATGTGAACGTTAAAAAGGTTTTCGCAGCCCAGGTTTGGTGGCAGAAATGCCTCCAGATTGGTTTATTTACAAAGGCTTATAGATGAATGAATTAATATGGGCCATAAATTGTGTATCACATCTTTTTTTAGGTTTTTTTTGTTTTCAGGTTCAAATTCAAACAGACCCTCCGACGTAATCTCTGTGAACACATGTCTAGATCATCTGACTAAAGGGAGACTTGAGGTAGTTAAAAACGAGCTTACAAAAAATAAATCGAATGAATCTAATTTTCAAGATAATGTTTCTGGATTCAACTGTTTCCTCCAAACAGCAGATGTTTGTAATCAGGACGGGTAATTAAACAGCAGCTCCGCTACTGATCAGTGTGACGGCACTGATGAGAAAGTATGAAATTAAAAGATAATATAATGAATGCAGCGGGAAAACTCAGTCATTGCTTCAGCGGTGTCTATGCGCCCGCGGTAGCACCCAGTTGGTAGCTGTTACCCTTCACGGCACACTCATGTAATCCAGTTTTGAGATTAGTGAGTGATTAGTGGATGTTGCAGTCTGTTTTATGCATTTTTGTTTTAGCCCTATTAAATAACGTGAGCAGTATTAGTATTAATGCACTGGCCATTCAGTGGTAGAAAAGAGCAAAATATGCGCCTGCACTTGAAAGTAATTGGTGGGTTGTGGGGATGGCTATTTCTAGACAATTTCCTCTCACAGTGGCACTCAGGGGAACCGAATCATCTGGGGAGGGATACTAACTAAATTTAGAGCAGGAAAGCATTAGTCATATAAAGCGAACATGGTCAATAGATTTAGGGAACCCAGTCTGGAAAACATACGCCATCAGGGTCCCTTCGATTGCCCTAAATGTGTCTCCTCCTCAATTA